TAGTTCGGAAGCCTATTCGATCGGTGTTCGCACATTTCTATGTGAATATATATATATATATGTATATTTAATTTCATATCATCTGCTTCTTGTTAGTCATTTCTTAATAGCTTAGCCTTTTTCCTTAACTATTGATAAATTAGGTCCTACCTTGAATTCTATCAGTTGCACCGCCTGATACCTCCATTAAGTACAGCCAATGAACGAAGATTGAGCATTCAAGGTCCGTTCTTCCATAGGCCACGCGGATTTAAGTGCGCGAAGACGTTTCATTTAAAAAGCACTTTCTGGCTTTGCCTAGCATTTGTTTTGAAACTGCAAAACATGGCCTCAGCACATTTTTTCATTTTTGCAGTTCGTGTTGCCGCACTCAGTAAGTTAAAAAATTCTCATAAAACCTAATCATATCATCTTTGAACTGGTTGTAATTTTTTTTTGCAGTTACTGTAGCCCACGGCCAAGCAAATGAATTAACGATAAGTCAGCCCCGTGGGGCGTATCTAAACAACGTCAATGTAACTATCGACTTTCCTGCAGAGGTAAGGTTTACATAAGTACGGGAAAGAGGTCTTCATCTGATAACTCATGCTATCCTAATTTCCATTCATGTTTTATACTTCTATATAACATAACTTGTAATTCAAAATGCCTTCAAGCAAAACTAAAACCCATGAACTACTATTATCGCGTAGGCTGTTATCGGCAAGTGCAATTTTGCTGACAGGGTTTGCGGACGGATTGTTGGTAAGATGTCCTGACTGCCTGAATTTGTTGCAACATAGAACCCAACATTTCTAACATCTGTATATGCTATTCCAGGGCATCAAGAGAAGTTCACTATTCGTGCTGGCACAAATCTTCCTGTCGGTGAACACTATTTCAGAGTCACTGGCAAGACAGGCAAGTTTAAAATCGTCATAGAAAAGGGTAAGCTATCTTCCCGTAATATAGCGTCCTCACTAACGCAAACGCCTTCCTTTCAAAGACTTCCGATTAGTTATTCCTCCTAAACAACGTCTGTATGGGTTGGAAGTGCAAAACTATGCAGTGAGACGTGATACCACATATACGGTGCCATTTCTTATAGCTGTAAGTTTACCTACTGACTACTGCCACTAACTCTATGTGTTCCTTGTCAATACGGCTACGCATTCTATTTATATTATAGAACATGGAGTATGGCATACCGTACAGGAGCGATGCACGTAAGCAAAAAAACATGATACATTGCGTGCGATCGCACGTTGACAGCATTCGAAAAAATATGTTTTCAAGTTGACCCCATTTTAATGCACTGTGAATGCTTATCATCAAATCAAATAAACAATTAGCGGAGCAGGCAACAAGTGGCCAACTTTTACAAGCAATCTTCTTTTTAATTACGACTTGATGTAGGGTGATCCACTGTTCTGCTACCGTTTTTGTAAAACTAAGGTGTGCTTATTGTTCATGGTTGCGCTTTGTTTATTAATCAGATTTGAACACCGTATTACGACATTTGAGGCGTTTATAGCTAACACAAGCCAAAATCCAAGTACTGAAAGTTAACTATAAGGAGACCGATCGGCGTTCTGGGACAAGGATTTATTTGCCTGGAGTTTCTTTATCCGCGGTGGATCCGCTATTGATCGATTTCTCTTACGGTCACTAATAATGAATTCGCAACGGCAAATAACGATCTCGTCCCAGAGATTTCCTTGAAATAGTCGGCGTTCCCAGAAGCTCTTTTTATTATTTTTTTCATTTTTAGCTATCCTGCCAAATTCTGCAATTAATATACTTTACTATGTGTACAACTCACCAGATTATTTAAAATCTTTTTTACACTATTAAGAGCAAACTGTCATCCAGCTTAATGGACCAATGCAAAGTGAACCTGTGTATCTGCAGTTTTCAGCAAATGAAGACGGAAGCGGAAAAAAGTTCACATTAAAAATTTGCCCTGATAATTTGAACTGTGCGGTGGATAACCAGGCTGACGTCAGAGCTGCCAACGCTGACTACAAGAGGCCGTCGTTAGAAACTCAGCCAGTGAACACTGTTGGGAACGCTGAAAACCGGAAGCCTCCACCAGAAATCAAGCATGTCGACACAGCTGCTAACGCTGGCTACAACAGGCGTCTAGTAAAAGAACATCCTACCAGCACAGCCACTAATGTCTTCTCTCTTGTGCTCATTTTTATGTGGTCTGCAAGGCTGCTTGTAGAGATGTAGCTTTGCTAAAGCACATCTGGCCGTTTATACTGGTTTCAACGCCTCAAAAATACGGCTTTATTGTTTCTGTATCTATTACCCAAGATCGTTGAATAAATATACCTTGGTGTTTGTTACTTATATTGAACTTCATCAGTGACATCTGAAAAAGCGAAAATTATAGGGAGTTATTTTTGTCTTCGCTGCCTAATGGTAGGTCACATTAATTGGCAGGGAAAGTACTTTATTACAATGTACTTACCCTTGGCGTAACAGGGCTTTGATACTGTAACAGTATGTACTGTTAGGAGTTTATTCTGACCAAATGCTAGCAACCTTGGAGGCTTTTCTGAGGTGCCGAGCCTAGCAAAACATATGTCTTTCTTCGCTCTGAACGCCTACACGCGATGACCTAAACCACTTGACAGGATATGGAGGCACGCGCGTGCTTAAGTGGTTGTAGTTCCCCGAGGGCCACCTGGTCGCGTGACTTTATCCCTAGCACCCAGTGATACCACAGGCGAACGCGCTGACAATCTCCTATAAGCCCCACTAGGGCCAACTGGTCGCGTGACTTAATCACAAGCGCCCAATAATGCCACAGGCAAACGCGCTGACAATTTTATATAAGCCCCTGTTACCTCTCAGACAGTGAGTTGCACACGCGGACTGCGAAGACACCGTCATCGATGCCTTTCTTGCCCTGAGCCGGGACAAAGAGCACGCGTGAGATTTAAAGGGCGTTATTCGACGGTAACGCACGTCAGCTGCCTCATATAAGCAGACCAACAATAAAATAAATCGCGCCGAAACTGCAGTATTAACCCTGCACGGGTTCTATTTGTCAGCTCTAGGGCAAAGCGTCAGTCAATTTTTAGGTGTATCAAGTAAAATTCGGAGAATATGTTCCCATCTAGACATGTAAAAAAGCTACTTATAGCGTAAGAAATCAAAATGGAGGTGAGGGGCGAA